CCCCAAAACCCCAAAACCCCAAAACCCCAAAACCCCGGTAGACAATATCTACATTGAATATTTGAAACTAATGACCATAAGCTGGCAGTTTACTATTTGAGTCAGAGATATGGAGATTATAGAAGATGGTAGAATATATCACCAAAGTGTCCTGAATATAAATCTGTCCAACTTTCTTCGACCTCAGTGTTAGATTCTATTTCAAAGATACCTTGGTTTTCATTAGGAATGTCATTATACTCGTCTCCTTCACTCCCAAAATCAGTCTCAATATTGCCTGAAGTTTGAAAGTCTTTTCCTATCCAGACAAACAGTTTTATTTTGGACCATTGTTCGACTTCGATTGGGTTCTTTAGCATCAGTTTGTAAATCTTATTCCCTCCTATAAAATCAGTGAGATTAAGTAAACTTAAGGAATTAGAAGAGTTGAATAGTTACCTTCGTGGATCCAGTCCGAAGCTATCAATTGGTCTTTCTCGGTTACTCTTCCATCAACATGAACTTCATATCTTAGGTAATAATGGTCCTGATTTTGGGCTGCAAAACAACTGAAACCTGCCAAAACAATGCTCCTTTGTGGTACAATTATAAGTGACTCTGGTCAGTCACTATTGTTCCACCAGGAGTCATTCTGTACGACTTTCTTGAATCTAGAGAATCTATAGAGTTTCTGGTATGAATATGAAGCGAATATAGTATCGTCATCCTTAAGATCTTGGATTCCATAAGGACAATCTTTTCTATTTAGTATCTTTCCTTTGTAGAAAAGAATGTAATTAAAGATATTTTTGTCAAACCCGCTAAACGCACGTTGTAAAGAAGTCTCCAATCTCTCGTAGAGCTTCAACTCAACTTCGATTGAGCTTTCTGATTGGGTGGGATCAAAGATGCTTAGAATAAGAGTGATAGAATCTTTGAAGTTAGCAAATTCTTGAGTATCAGATATTTCCTTCTTTAATGAATCGTCTTGGCTTAATATTAAAATTGAGGTTGGATTTCCTTCTTGGTCTTTCTCAATCTCAATAACCTTGTACAACAAATGGTCAGAAATGCAATACACAAAATATCCAACCTTAAAAATGGATGAATGCTGCTTCTCAGCTCCTTCTATATCTTCGTCTTCTGATGGTCCTTTTCATTCTTTGAAAGAGTGTCTTCTGTCATCTCCTTTAAGAAAACTGAATAATTAACAAAGGGAAGTTCTCCTAAACATAGAGTATCTCTCCAAGTGCTCTTCCTGAGAAGAGAAAAGTCGGACTCTATTGCTTTACTAAAATCTGTATCCATTATAATTCCTGATTAAAAGATCTTTAATAGAATTAAAAATTATCAAACCAGATCCATCTTTGTAGGGGTTTTGGGGTTTTGGGGTTTTGGGG